CTACACGACGCTCTTCCGATCTCCCCAAAACCCCAAAACCCCGTCGTCCATTGTACTCATAAATAAGTAAAAGTAATAAAAATTAATTCAAAGTAAATGCATATATATCATTGTGATTCTATCTTGCACTCCTTTAATTCTCATTCTGCTTTCTTTTCCTCCTCCTGATTAGATGAATTATTCTGTGTTGGTTAAAATACGAATTCTGGGGCGTTAAGATTTAATGTTTGCACACCGCTACCACCAAACAGATTAAGAGGCTATTGCATTTGCTGAGCTAAATTCATCATATTTAAGAGCTATTAGAAATCAGGATTATGCATGAGCTATTCTTGCTATTGCTAGAATTAGTTATGAGTCATATCTTGTTCCTCATCTACTCTGTAATCTTCTTATTGAATAAAATCAATATCATCTGAGTAGAAATAATCATTACTCTAGGTCACACTCAAATTGAATCCACTTGTAGCTGCCTGATTCTATTGTTGTTGATAATTAATTGGTTAGTAGGTGTTGATTGATGTGATTGCTGGATCTTGATGGTAATACTGCTCTAACTTCTATTCCTCCATCTATATTTGTACTTGCTGTTAAATAACTTGTTGCTATTGCTATTGAATTAATCCTTGATTTGCTACAATTTCAGCTTAGTCCTGTTGTATTACTTAGACAGACTCAACTTATTCTTTTTATATTTACTTTATTTCATTTTTAGGTCCTTATTTATAAAATGGCTTTCTATCAATTTTCATTTCAGTTTTTTGTTAGGGAATAAACACTTGATGCTCTGGATTAGCTTGCTATAAAGCTTATAGATCTTATTAATCCTCTTCGGTTAGTGGCTGCTCTTAGAAGCTGACAACTAGTTATTCATTTTTGTTTATGATAGAAGTGAACTTCTTTGTAAGATTAATGAGATTGTTTGGATTTATGAAACCCCCTCTATATTTTTCGCAGTTTCCATAAATATTGTTGCCTGCAAGGAAATGCTCATCAAACAAAACAATAATTTTATCATTGGTTTTTCCAACCACTGTTCCTCTGAAACCAAAAGGTACATACTCTCTTCTCATACTCATTATGTTCATTACTCTATCTCCTACTCGGAAGTCATCAGTTGTTTTAGAGTCGAATGGGAGGGACCAGTAAGGGAATTACTCTTAGAATAGCAAGTGACAATCTAGTATTTCCAATTCTCTGCATTAGAGTACTACTGATTGGTATGATTCCTTTATCTTTTGCCCCTTTGATACGATACTTTGAAGAAGATTCTAATTCAGTACATCAAATCCCATTTCAACATATGGAAGTTTTGAAATAGGAAGATTTTCAAGCCATGTAGTGATTTACCTTATTCTAGGGATTGAATCTTATTGGTCGGTCTTTGGATATATATCTTTAAGGGAGAGCATTTGTTTGTTAGATTTCATTGTTCTTACAAGGCAATCATAAACTTCTCTATAGGTTGAAATGTATTCTTTGATAATATCGAAGCACTCTTGAGAGTATTCCCAATGTTTTCTTTGATGTCTAGCACCTCTAGCATGGTAATTATGGTTATAATCATCATATTAGTTGTCAGCTAGGTCTTCTTCGACTACGTATCTGACATACTCAGCAATGTGAACCTTCTTGGTATAGTTTTTGACATTTAAGCCAAGATCAATAACTTATCTATCCATCTTATATGGATCATTGTAAGTGACAAGGATAGATCCTGTTAGCTTGTTAATTATGCCTTATCTAAGCTTTAGCTCAGCTTCAATTTGCTTATCACTCCAGTATCTTCTCATATTTTGATTAAGAGGATCTTCTTTCTCAGCAAGCAAGCACTTTTAGCCCATAAATGGATCATGAATTTTATTTTGCTACTCTTCTATATTGAATTTTATTGAAACTCTCTTCCTCTAGTAATCAATTTGTTCCACTTTGCCAATCACACCAAAGAGATGCATGTTAAGACACACTACTTCTGAACCAACTGTATAGCTTTTTGGCAAAGAGTTGCATCTTAAATTAACATTTAGGTAATGATTTGGATCTCTTTTTCTTAAGATCATACACAGAGGTATCAAATCTTAGGTCTCGTCATATATTTTGTAATAATAGCATCTGTGTGAATCAAAACCTACTCCTATAACTTTGCTAACACTAACAAATACCTTTGGATCCTCGATTGCAAATCCTAAATCTTGAAGCTTGAACTTTTATCTACTCTGTAGATATTCATATTTCTCCTAATTAGATGCTTAGTAATCTCTATGTACCTTATATACATTAGAATATTCATCTCCAAATACGCTGTAAGTGAATTTTGAGTCTTCGAAAATTGTTGGAAAAGCTTCTACCTAGAAAGGGAATCCTACATAGATCTCTTTTGAAGCTTATTTGATAAATTTATTTACAAAATTTTCAAGATCCTCAGTTGATCTCTCTTCAATACAAGATGGAATTTAAAGTAAAACTCTCTAGAACGCCACTTCATTTATAACTTTTTCATCAAATGTAATGCCCGCTACATTAAGATACTTAAAACTTGGAAATTGCTGGCAAGGCTATTCTACACCTGGTAGTAATTTGGCTTCAAATGAGAATTTTCCAACACTTGCATATTCTGATTCCTTAGTCATCTTACATAAGTTTTCTTTAATTTCATTAAACAAATTTAGAGAGCTGATAAGTGGTTTACGCTATTCTTTGTCAAGTTTTGGATCATATACATAAGTTTTATACTCAAAACTAATGAGATTTCTATCTTTATCTTCTGGGTTCAACTGACTTTATTTTAATAGTTACTATTCATGTTCAATGAAAAGTTACTCATCTACAAAAGGAATCAAGCAAGTAGCTTCCCAAGGTAGAGCTCTTCCATTAAAATCAATATCAAAATCATCTGGGAAATATTTTCTCAAAACTCCCAATGCAATATGAGAATACTCCTAAGGTAATAGATGTAAACTTTTGACAGGTAATATTGAGAGAAGTTACTGGAAGGGCGTGTATGGCTCATTGACATTTGCACAATTTTCGTCAATTTCAAATTAATCTATAGTAACATTTCCTGAAAGGTAATTTTAGACTATATTTTCATCAATATCTGAAATCATTGGGGCATAATGGTAAGGATAGTACCATCTCCAATGTTGAGCTCCTCTATAGTAATAATAAAGCACCCATTGAAGACCTTCAATATACTTTTTAAGCATTCTTTTTTTCAAAACGTTGCCCTTTGAGCTTATTCCATCAAATTTGACTTTAGCCTTGTAGTACATATTTTTAGCTTCAGTTGGGTCTTCATTATACATAGAGATAAAGTCAGTCATGAATTATAAGTTTTCCTCAGCATATCTATCGTTTAAATCCTAGATGACTTGTATCTTATTTTCGATTTCTTGGTTAAGATTGACATCTTGAATGTTTTCTAAATTTAATTCGCTCTCGCTAACGTCACTAACTTGATCATCGTCTAAATCATCAATATTAAGATCTGAGAAATATTCCTCCTTTAGGCCTGCAATAAGTTCCTTTAGAGTTTCCATTTTCTTAGATTCTTCACTTAATGGTTCTCCTTAACTTTGAATGTTATGATCGACATTTTACTATTCTCTAAGTTTTCTATACTTGAGCAATTACTACTCTCTAATTTGCTTTTACGTTTGTGTTAGCGATTGATTGACTTCATCCTCTTCAAATTTCTTTAAAAGTAAGAATTTTTTTAGTTACTTGTCTTTCTTTTTCTAAGACAAACCCAAAATTTTCTTTTTCTTTTTTTCAATAAGCTTCTGTCTTATTTTTTGTTTGATTATCTAAGTCTTATCAACAGTTGTTTGTGCCTAGTTTAATTCTGAATCAAAACTAATTAGCTTTTAACTTTTAGCCTATCTGATACAAACTATTCTTTTCTTCAAACTAATTGCTTCATGATCAGCTAGCATTTTGATAAAAGGCTCTGCTCTATCCCAATGAATTTTACCGGCCTCAGTAATATAATTACTCATTTAAGGGAGCAGCTTTTTATATAAATCAATCAAATTATCAAGAGAACCTTCACCAATATCAAGTGATATTAAGGAGGGCAAGAAGTCATTACCAATAAAGAAGCAAAAAAACACAAAATCATCAATAATTCGCTCTAAATCGAATCTCATTCTCATTTAAGGGGCTACTCTTGAGTATTCAAGTTAAAAATACTCTCTTAAAAGATTTACATAGATCAACTAATAATTATTTGTTCTCTATAAATCTAATCTTTATACTCCGCCTTATTTGGTCTTTCTAACTACATGTTCTTCTCTTAAAATAATGAAATTAGGCTCATGAGTAACTAGTGATAACATAATAAGATCTGCATCAGCTCCATAGAAGCAATGCTTAGTATTTGGATCATGGTTGGGATTTTATTTGGCTTATCTGATGAAATCCATCATTTTATGCTCTCCTTCACCAGGGACAAAGCCATCTGATAATACAATTTTCTCTAGCTACTAATAGAGAGGGTCAATATTCTATTTGTATTAAACGAAGAAGTCTAGCTGTTTGCTAAGTTACTCCATGAATTTGGTTCCAGGAGAAATAGCATTACTATCAAATAGCTTAGTAGCCTCTTTTCCCTCCTTTATCAACTTTTCAATTAAAGATTGAGAATCTTTAGCAGTTCTGAATCTTCTTGCTCTTTGTTAATTCATTTTAGCTCTTGGGGCAACTCCATCTACAGCTAAGAATAATACCTTCTTTGGTTTTATGGTATGAACAATCTCATCTATAGCTTTCATTATATTTGCCCAGACCTCATCAAAATTATTAAGCTAACTCACCCTTTCATGTAGTTTAGCATCATTTCCATGAATACAATTATGCACAATTCCGTTCAAATCCAAGTATAAGTTGTCTAAATATTCATAATTTAGTTTCAAATAGAATGCTAATAAGAATTTTACCTATTGGGGGGCATTCTTCTTCAACTTTAATGTTGTGAAGGATCTAAGGATAACGACGAGTCAACCATTTAAAAAATTTCGGTATTCCCATATTTAAATCTATTCGGTATAATAAACTAATGAATTATATATATTTTTTATCCAATAAAACAAAGATATATACGATAGAGGGGTTTTGGGGTTTTGGGGTTTTGGGGTTTTGGGG